GACCAAGTGTTCCCCGAATCGGTTTGGAAAGCCTTCGGGGAACACGTGGGCTTCTTGAAGGTCATCTTGGCCGTCTGGAGGCCATTTTGACCCTTTCGGGCCTTCTTGGAGGACGTCTTGGTGGGCTCTTGGGCCGTCTTGGAGGCCATCTAGAGCGTCTTGGAGGCATCTTGGGCTGTACTTGGGGCCTATTGGGGCCGTCTTGGGCCTCTTGGGCGATCTTTGGAGGCACTTGGGCCGTCTCGGGCCGTCGGAAGGCCGAACAAAAAACAAATGCCACAATCCTTCAAAAACCCATGGGAATGATTTTGGCCTTTTCGGGCCTTCCTGGAGGCCCTCTTGGAGGCCTCTTGGGCCGTCTGGGGCCAGCTTCGAGCCAACTTCGGCCATCTTGGTGGGCTCCTGGCCTGTCCGACGCCGTCGGAAGCCGTTTTGGGGGCCTCTCTGGGCCGACTTGGGACCCTCTTGGGGTGCTCCAGGGCCGTCTTGGAGGCCATCTTGGGCGTCTTAAAAGCCTCCTGGGCCGTCTTGGGGGCCTCTTGGGCCGTTCTGGGGCCATCTTGGAGCCCTCTTGGGCGATCTTTGGGCGATCTTTGGGTGCTCTTGGGCCGTCTCGGGCCGTCGGAAGGCCGCAAAGAAGCAAATGTCAAAATCCTTCACAAACCTAAGGGAAATCAGTGTTTTTGGCCTTTTCTGGCCCTCCTGGAGGCCCTCTTGGAGGCCTCTTGGGCCGTCTGGGGCCAGCTTCGAGCCAACTTCGGCCATCTTGGTGGGCTCCTGGCCTGTCCGACGCCGTCGGAAGCCGTTTTGGGGGCCTCTCTGGGCCGACTTGGGACCCTCTTGGGGTGCTCCAGGGCCGTCTTGGAGGCCATCTTGGGCGTCTTAATGGGCCGTCTTGGGGGCCTCTTGGGGCCGTCTTGGGGGCCTCTTGGGCAGTCCTAAGGCCATCTTGGAGACCTCTTGGGCGCTGTGGGGGCGATCTTGGGGGCCTTTTGGGCCATCTTGGGTCGTCGGAAAGCCGAAAAGGAGCAAATACGAAAAACTTAAAAAAACATACATGATTTTAGCCTCCTCGGGCCCTCCTGGAGGACCTCTCGGGGGCCTCTTGGGCCGTCTTGGAGGCCTCTTGGGCACCTCTTGGGCCGTCTTGGGCCGTCTTGGAGGGTGCTTGGATGGATTTGGAGGCATCTCCTCCTCTCCTGGGCCGTCTTGGAGGCCATCTTGGGCGAACTTGGAGACCATCTTGGGCGAACGTGGCCATCTTGGAGGCCATCTTGAGCAGTCTTGGAGGATTTTTTGAGGGAAGAGGTCCCGGAGGTCCTTCCCGGCACCCTGGCGGGACGGGCCGAATCACCAAAACCGAAATCGTCTAGCACGCCAGGCACCCCTGTGATGAATCAACAGGGTGCGGCGGATCCCAGTGGCCTTTTGTCCATTCCGCCACCGTGTCTGGGTTGTGGGTCTGAGGCCTCTTGTATATGTGTTGGGGTGTCGTGGGGAGCCTCTCGGGGACCTCTTGGATGCTTTTTCGGCGCCTCTTGGGGGTCTCTTGGGGCCTCGCGGGGTATCTTTGGGCCTCTTGGAGACCTCTTTGGCGCGTCTTGGGTGCCTGTTGGGGCCTGCGTCTTGGGCTGTCTTGGGGCGGTCTTGGGAACTTCTTGAGCCATCTTGGAGCGTCGGAAAGCCGAACATGCGAGAACCTTTTGTAACATCGATGATTGGCCTCTTGGGGCTCTCTCGGGAGGCCTCTTGGAGCGCTCTTGGGGCCTCTTGGGGCCCTCTTGGGCCGTCTTGGAACCATCTTCGGGCGCCTTGAAGCACTCTGGGCCTCGGCAATACGAATCTGCTGAAATTTGCAAGGGCTTATGGCCACGTGGACGCGAATCTGTAATACTTTACAAAGGTTTGTTGCCTTGGGGACGCAAGGACTGAGCAATTTTCGAGGGTATGTGGCCTCGGGGGCTCGAGTCTTGCGTAATTAATATGGGATCATTGATTCGGGGACGCGAAGGGTGTGTACTTTACGGGGTTATGTTGCCTCTGGGCCCCAACACTTGAGTAATTCTAGATTCTTTGCGTATCCCCATCAGCCTATCCAGAAAATATGTCCAGGCGAGTTGAAGTGATCAGGGAAGTGCGGGAGCAAAGGAGGAGAAGGAGGAGGCTGGATAGATGGATGAGGGAGTGGGGAGAAGGAGGATGAAGAGGAGGAGGAGGAGGAGGAGGAGGAGGAGGAGGAGGAGGAGGAGGAAGAGAAAGAGTAGGAGGATGAAGGAGGAGCAAGAGGAGAGGGCAAGCTAAAGGGCCAGAGGTCTCTTGGATGCCTCTCGGAGCCTCTTGGGGTATCTCTTTGGCGCTTCTTGGTGGTCTCTTGGGACGTCTTGGGGGTCTCTCGGCGGTCCTGGGGGGCTCTTGGCGTCTTGGGTACCTCGGGGGGGGCTCTTCGGGCCGCTTGGGATCCTTTTGGGGGCCTCCTGGGGGCCTCCTGGGGGCCTCTTGGGGCCATCTTGGGACCTCTTGGGGCCTCTCCGGCGCTTCTTGGGGCCATCCTGGAGGAAATCGATCAGAGAAGAGGGGAGCTTCAATGAGGGTTGCCCCCCCAAGAGGCCAAAATGGAGCCAACACCTCAGTAAAACCAATTATTTTAGCTTCCTCGCCGAGGCCGTTTTGGGCGCTCCAACTACCCGCGACCAGCCCCGTCCAGGTCCAAGGGAGGGGTAGGGGGAGGGGTCAAGCTAGCCAGCTCGAGCGGGTCAAGCATGGCATGCCCATTCCCACCCGCCCTCCCACAACATAAGAAACAGTGATGGCACAACTGGGGGCTGCGCAGGGCTTTTCACTGCGAGTGGAGGATACCCCAGGACACCGCATTGACGTCCGCGCGGGATGTGCGCAGCGTCCCATTCCCGCCACTTATTTCGCATCGTCGACGACAAGACTGGCCATGTTGAAATGAATTACCCTGGCGACGTGCCCAACCCCTGCGCAAACGCGGGGCGCAAATAGTTTAGGACACTTTATAAAGGGGGCGATGACGGAACGAGGGTTACATATGTCTGCAGACGGAATTCGGGACATTCGCAGGACACTTGCTACAGAACAAGGACTAGACAAAGCTGATTAGTTACAATCCCTGAGCAGCCCTAGCCACTTCGAAGGCGGGGATCTCAGACCGCAGCCCCCCAGGGATGGCGAGGTCTAATTTGGGCCCGCGCGTGGCGACACTGTGCTGGGCCCCCCCGGCAGGCCTCGAAAGTGGCGACAGTTTCACGGATCGCAGCCCCCCAGGGAATGCGAGGTCTAGCTTGAATCTGCGTGTGGCGTCACTGTGCTGGGCCCCATCAGCAGGCCTCGAAAGTGGCGACAGTTTCACAAATCGCAGCCCTCCCCAGGGATGGCGAGGTCTGATTTGAATTTGCTTGTGGCGTCACTGTGCTGGGCCCCCCAGCAGGCCTCGAAAGTGGCGACAGTTTCACAGATCGCAGCCCCCCAGGGATGGCGAGGTCTAATTTGAGTCCGCGGTGAGTACCCACTGTGCTGGGCCCCCCAGCAGGCCTCGAAAGTGGCGACAGTTTCACAGATCGCAGCCCCCCAGGGATGGCGAGGTCTAATTTGAGTCCGCGGTGAGTACCCACTGTGCTGGGCCCCCCAGCAGGCCTCGAAAGTGGCGACAGTTTCACAGATCGCAGCCCCCCAGGGATGGCGAGGTCTAATTTGAGTCCGCGGTGAGTGCCCACTGTGCTGGGCCCCCCAGCAGGCCTCGAAAGTGGCGACGGTTTCACAGATCGCAGCCCCCCAGGGATGGCGAGGTCTATTTGAGTCCGCGGTGAGTACCCACTGTGCTGGGCCCCCCCAGCAGGCCTCGAAAGTGGCGACAGTTTCACAGATCGCAGCCCCCCAGGGATGGCGAGGTCTAATTTGAGTCCGCGGTGAGTACCCACTGTGCTGGGCCCCCCAGCAGGCCTCGAAAGTGGCGACAGTTTCACAGATCGCAGCCCCCCAGGGATGGCGAGGTCTAATTTGAAACTGTGCTGGGCCCCCCAGCAGGCCTCGAAAGTGGCGACAGTTTCACAGATCGCAGCCCCCCAGGGATGGCGAGGTCGGTGAGTACCCACTGTGCTGGGCCCCCCAGCAGGCCCCGAAAGTGGCGACAGTTTCACAGATCGCAGCCCCCCAGGGATGGCGAGGTCTAATTTGAGTCCGCGGTGCGTACCCACTGTTCTGGGCCCCCCCAGCAGGCCTCGAAAGTGGCGACAGTTTCACAGATCGCAGCCCCCCAAGGATGGCGAGGTCTAACTTGAGTCCGCGGTGAGTACCCACTGTGCTGGCCCCCCCCAGCAGCCCTCGAACGTGGCGACAGTTTCACAGATCGCAGCCCCCCAGGGATGGCGAGGTCAAGGGTAGGGGGGAAGAGAGGGACGGGAGGGGGTGGGAAGGAAGGGAGAAACGCAGGACCCAACGCAGGAGGGTTGGGAACCCAACGCAGGAGGGTTGGGAACAACGGACACGTTCCGCCCTCCCACAACAAAAGAAACAATGCTGGCGCAACTGGGTGCCAGCGCGTAGTGGTGGTAGTAGTAGTAGTAGTAGTAGTAGCAGCGTAGTAGTAGTAGTAGTAGTAGTAGTAGTAGTAGTCGTAGTCGTAGTCGTAGTCGTAGTCGTAGTCGTAGTCGTAGTCGTAGTCGTAGTCGTAGTCGTAGTCGTAGTCGTAGTCGTAGTCGTAGTCGTAGTCGTAGTAGTAGTAGTAGTAGTAGTAGTAGTAGTAGTAGTAGTAGTAGTAGTAGTAGTAGTAGTAGTAGTAGTAGTAGTAGTAGTAGTATAGTAGTAGTAGTATTCGTAGTCGTAGTCGTAGTCGTAGTCGTAGTAGTAAGTAGTAGTAGTAGTAGTAGTAGTAGTAGTAGTAGTAGTAGTAGTAGTAGTAGTAGTAGTAGTCGTAGTAGTAGTAGTAGTAGTAGTAGTAGTAGTAGTAGTAGTAGTAGTAGTAGTAGTAGTAGTAGTAGTAGTAGTAGTAGTAGTAGTAGTAGTAGTAGTAGTAGTAGTAGTAGTAGTAGTAGTAGTAGTAGTAGTAGTAGTAGTAGTAGTAGTAGTAGTAGTAGTAGTAGTAGTAGTAGTAGTAGTAGTAGTAGTAGTAGTAGTAGTAGTAGTCGTAGTCGTAGTAGTAGTAGTAGTAGTAGTAGTAGTAGTAGTAGTAGTAGTCGTAGTCGTAGTCGTAGTCGTAGTCGTAGTCGTAGGCGTAGTCGTAGTAGTAGTCGTAGTAGTAGTAGTAGTAGTAGTAGTAGTAGTAGTAGTAGTAGTAGTAGTAGTAGTAGTAGTAGTAGTAGTAGTAGTAGTAGTAGTAGTAGTAGTAGTAGTAGTAGTAGTAGTAGTAGTAGTGTAGTAGTAGTAGTAGTAGTAGTAGTAGTAGTAGTAGTAGTAGTAGTAGTAGTAGTAGTAGTAGTAGTAGTGTAGTAGCAGTAGCCCTCAGCCGCCGAAAGATCGTTCCAAGACGCCACTTTGTTCCAGGCGGCCGTAGCGCCAAGAAACCGCGCGGAGCCTCAGGAGGCCCTCCAAGAGCATGAACAAGCAAAAACCTCCCAGGCATTCGTCACCCCAGGGCCTCCTGGACCGCCCCGGCGCCCAATGAATTGGCGAGCTAGAAGCGTGCGCCGAGCCAAAGCGGGAGCGCAACTTTGAGAAAATTTCGCTCGGCGTCCAAGCGAGAAGGTCATTTCATTCACTTCGAGCGGGGGGGAGGGGGTTGTGCCGCGCCCAATTCTTGCCATGAATTTTTGCGGGGTGGACGACAAGAACAGCTATGTGGGCAGGGAAAATCATCATGACATCGCTTCTGACAAATAAGGTGGCCCTTCCCGCCTTGGGGTTGCCCCAGAAGTCCGCGCGCGATGTGCGCCGCGCCCCATTCCTGCCACGCATTTCGTATCGTCGACGACAAGGCAGGCCATGATGAAAGGAAAAACGGCAACTCTGTATTGTTCTTTACAGTCAGGATGGGAAGGCCCGCGGCCCGCATGGACGTCCGCGCGCGATGTGCGCCGCGTCCCATTCCTGCCACGCATTTCGCACCGTCGGCGACAAGGCAGGCCATGCTGAGAGGAAAAAGCGGAGATTTTGTATCTATTTTTTACAGTCAGGGTGGGCGGGCCCGGATTGACGGCCGCGCGCGATGTGCGCCGCGTCCCATATGTGCGCCGCGTCCCATTGCTGCCACATATTTCGCACCGTCGGCGACAAAGCAGGCCATGCTGAGAGGAAAAAACTAAGACTTGGTACTGATTGGTTACAGTCAGGATGGGCGGGCCCAGATTGACTGCCGCGCGCGATGCGCGCCGCGTCCCATTCCTGCCACGCTTTCCGCATCGCCGACGACAGGAAAGACGATGTTGAGAAGAAAAACGGTCACTTTGTATTGTTTTTTTTTGGTACAGTCCGGATGGGAGGTCCTGGATTGATTTGCTATCCGCCGGAATACGAGGTAGGTGGGGGTATATAATAATAAAGAACAAGGATAAACCGCTCCCCGAAGGGGAAGGGGGTTGGAAGAGGAGCCGCCCTAGACCACGTACGCCCAGAGGGCTGGTAGGAATTACAAAGGGTTGTCGCTTCGGGGGCGCAGCAATTGCTTACCTTGCAAAGGGTTAATGGCGAATCTCGTATAACTTAGGAAGGTTTGTTGCCTCATTGCCTCGGGGACGCAATACTTGTACAATTTGCGAGGGTTGCTGGCCTTGGTGGCGCGAGTATTGTATCATTTTCATTTGATCGTGTCGCAACTGTGGCGTGATGTGCGGGGGATCGTGGCCCCAGAGGCGCGAATGTACAGTAATTTGCAGGATATATGGAGTTTTTAAGGAGGGATCGTCGCTTCGGGGACGCGAGCGCGGTGCAATTTGCAAGGGGTCGTGGCTTCGGGGACGCGAATACGATGTAATCTGCGAAAATATACTGCGTCGGGAACGCGAATCTGATGTATTTTTAAGTGTCCCACGGCCCCCCAGGAATTCAGACAACGCGATTCGGGTATGACAACCGGGCCCTATTCGGCTCCCCCCCCTTCGCGCGGGCCTCAACAGTTTACAGTAGGAAGCAGAGAGCAGGACTGTGGCATTGGAAACTGGAAAGTGGAACTGGCGCAGGGAGCAGCAAACCTGACCTTGTGTCGCTTATTCAGTTTTTATATAAGGGGCCGGCGGATCACGGCGGTCTTTGTCGAGTCCACCATGCGAGGCCTTGCCGCCCAGGACACCAGGATTAAGAGGCAGGAGAAGTACCATGTGAAGCACGTCAAGAAGGCCCTGGAGAAGCTGGTGCAGCGCATCGTGTTGATCAGCGAGACCTACAGGAAGACGCGTGACCTCGAGGCAACGGACAGTGCGACGAGCCCAGTCCAAGGCTTGGTGAGGAGGGTGTTCGGCTCCGCCTGGCTCCTGCCCCGGAAGGCCTTCAGTGAAGCGGCCTCGCCCGCATCTTCGGAAATCAACCTCGCGGTCGACCCCTCCCAGCTCACGCTCTCGGAGGGTGCTTTCAACGAGGTGCTCAGGGACGAGGATGTCCAGTGCGTCCTGGACGAGCTGGACATCAACCTCGGCACCGACAACGCGAGCATCTTCCGCATCTTCAAGAAGGACCGCGAGGGCCAGCTGCCGCTCGCGGAGATGCTGGCCACGCTGATGATGCTTCGGGGTGACACCTCCAAGGCGGACTTCATAGGGCCCTCGGTGATGATCGGCGGGCTCCGGGAGGAGGTGCGCGGCGACGTCCTCAAGGTCCAGGATCGGGACGATCGAAGTGGGTACGGAAAGAACGGGTGCAAAGACAAACAGCAGTTCCTGTTCATCTTGAGCAGCGCTCGCTGTCGATGTCGCCGCGGACTGTGTCCGTCTGGGGCAGAAGGCCGCCTGCCCGGCAGCCGCCGCCGTTGGCTTGGGACAGCGTGTGTTGTTGGGCACGTGCTTTTAGCGGAAGAGGTTCGCTCTCGCCCCGCCGACCAAAACGTGTTGTTGGGCACCGTGCCCACCTGTTCCGTATCCATTCCGGGCGTCCGCGCAGGAGATGCTCCTGAGCACTCGCCAGGTTCTGGTGGACTGCCAGCGCCAGATCCGGGCGCTGGCCGAGGAGCGGTAGCCGCCGCCGCTCCCCCGCCTCGCAGGGCCCGGCCGCCGTGGCCCGTGCCCGCCCGCCAAGGGGGCCGAGGTCGCCCCTCGCCCGCTCGGCCGCCCGCGTGTGCCGAGGGCGTCCTGGCAGCCTGGCCCGGGTCCGGCGCGGGGCACTCCGTGAGCTGCTGGGCGGACGTGCGTGTGATGTCCTTCGGGGCATTTTTTTTAGGCCTCCTGGATGGGGCCCGAGCAGATGGGGCCGGAGGATCGCGCCGCATGGCCGATGCGTCGGCGGTGCGGCTCGATGTGGAGCCCGATCTTCTCCCACGCCGGCGTCGCCGGTGCATCGCCGACGTCGCCGATGCATCGCTGGTGCATTGGCGGTGTATTGCTGATGCATCGGCGGTGCGGCGCGATCCTCCGACCCCATCTGCTCTGGACCCCTATCTCGGAGGCGGCCTCTGGTGTTTTGATGGGCGGACTTGCTTGTGGTGTACCTTCTGAGACACGCTGCAGCTTTTCGTTTTTCTTGTACGGGCTGTGCCGATGTCGCTCCCATCTGCCTTCGAGCTGGGCCCCGTGCACTCTGGTGTTACAGTCACCCGTGCCCTGGCAACTAGCAAACCGCTCGTCGGGCGCGGGCCCCCGCCTGGCCAGGTTGGACCAATATCCAGTGTGCCTCGGCACTGCTTGCGGTGGGTTCAGTCCTGCTTACTGTGGGTTCAGCCCTTCGGCGCTACATGCTGTGGGTTCATCCCTGCCTTTCTGCTTAGTGTGGGTTTAGTCCCCCAGGGTACTTCGGTACGGCTTGTCTGAGGCGGCGACTGTCAAGCGTTACACCGTGATAGCGCCCCTGTCAGGGCGACGCCGATGGGAAAAAATGTACCAAGCCCAAGCGATGCAAGTGAGCACGAGCTTCCAAGCTGACTCATACAACCGACGCATCGCCGATGCGGTGCGGTCCTCCAGCCCCATCTGCTTCGGCCCTACGTGGGCGGCTTCCACTGATGCAGTGGATCATCGGGGTGATAGATCTGGCATCGGGTGCGCATCAGATTCGCCAGGATGCGCTCGCGAGAGCGTTTGACTTGTCCTTTTTGGACGGGCAGCAGAGGCATGATGGGCAGGGAGGCGGAGGGGCCGAGGAGAAGGGCAGAGGATGGGGAAGGGAGAGGATGATGATGCTGATGCTGATGCTGATGCTGATGCTGCTGCTGATGATGAGGATGATGATGCTGATGATGCTGCTGCTGATGATGATGATGGTGATGATGACGATGATGATGATGATGATGATGATGATGATGATGAAGATGATGATGATGATGATGATGATGATGATGCTGATGATGATGATGATGATGATGATGATGATGATGATGATGATGACGATGATGATGATGATGATGATGGATGATGCTGATGCTGATGGTACTGCTGTTGATGCTGATGTTGATGCTGATGCTAATGATGATGCTAATGATTGTGATGTTGATGATGCTGATGATGCTGATAAACGTGATGATGACGAGAAGTAGAAGGAGGAGGAGGAGGAGCAGGAAGAGGAGGAGGAGGAGGAGGAGGAGGAGGAGGAGGAGGAGGAGGAGGAAGAGGAGGACGCGAAGGATAATGATATTCGCGGATTGTACAGCATGAAGGGTGGGTGTTTGAGGAGGAAAAGGAGGAGGAGAAGGAGGAGGAGGAGAAGGCGGAGGAGGAGAAGGAGGAGGAGGAGGAGGAGGAGGAGGAGGAGGAGGAGGAGGTGGAGGAGGAGGAGGAGGACGAGGAGGGGTACGAACGGCGAGGAGGGCGAGGAGGCGGAGGAGGATGAGGCGAAGCAGGAAGAGAAGAGGTGAGGCTTGCTTTGTCTGCACAAGTGAGGGGTCCCTCTGGAGGCCTCCTCCACTCCTCCACAGAGGCCAACGGCGGAGAGGCATGCTGGGTCTGCCCAAGTTTGGGCTCCTATCCAAACTCTGACCGCTCCGCCAGCTTTTCTCTCTTCTGCTGGTCTCACGCCATGGCATCTGTCGGTGAAAGGGTGAATTGCCGAAAGAGGAGGAACGCGTGGAGTCGTCAACAGGGAAGTGGAAAAGGCCCTGGCCTTCAGGAACATCCAAACACTAGCCTGAGAGCTCCTGTCATGGCATGCCGCTGATCTGATGGGTTCATTGTCATTCGGACACGTGGATCATGGTGTTTTCTCTTTCACTTCCTCCAACCGTGGCGAGTCTCTCTCCAGTGTTTCGAATCCTGGCCAGCACGTCCCGTCTGCTTCGGATTCTTTCCAGCCCTGGGCGCTTTTGTTCCAGCCTTGGCCACCTGCGCTTCGACCTTAGTATTTTTCAGCCTCCACGTTTGTCCACCCCCTCCCTTTGTCTGCCCACCTCTGGCTCACATTTTCTGTCGCCGCACGGAAGAGGCAATCCGCACGGGCGTTCGCAGTAGTCGGGGACATTCGATTCATTCATCGTCCGGATGCAAGAGGGGGGGGTGCGGGGGGGCAGGGCGGCCGCGGAGGGAGCGGAGAGGGGGGAGGGTACTCACAGGTGAAAGAATTTCATGGCGAGCGCGCCAGTGCGACCAGCTGGGACTGCCGTGCAGAGGCAGTGGACGCGGGGCGGCATCACCGCCACACCCAAGGACCTTAGCCCAGGCTGCAGGCGCTGAGAGCGTAGGAAGCAAGGTACCAGTAGTGCGTCAGTACAGAAGCCCCAAGCAGCTGTCAGGTGCGAATGATCCATCTGGGGGTGCGTCACGTTGCCGAGCACTGCCAGGCTTTGCTGCACCGGGCCGGCGCCTGCTGGATGTGGGGCCAGGACCGGGTTCCAGCGGCAGCGCGCGGTGACCGCGCGGGGCTGCGCCCAGGCGGGCGCGGGGGGGGCAAGCCTCTCAAAATGCTGTCACCCGGTTCAACATCATGACGTTGACGTTAGGCGTAGCTGCATCAGCTGGAGCAGGATGCGCCGGCCAGGTCGGGCGGCGGCGACGGCGCGCGAGGGGCGCCATGGCGGCGCGGGAGGGCAAGTCGTGCGAATGCCCATGTCGGCGCGCCGCTTGTTCCGACGCGCGGCCGTCCGTCTCCAGGGCGAATTCCTCCTCCTGCAGTGAGCTTTGCCGCGGTGCCGGCTTGGTGTACTCGGGCGCAGTCAAAGCAACCAGCACGGCGACAGCTTCGCAGCCACGGGCTCTTCATGATGCGGCAGCGATGCTACGCTCAACCGTGGTCAGGCAACTCCGCGGCCGCGCCTTGGTGCGCCCTGCCCCCTGCCGCGTACGAGGCAGGTGGCAGGGGTTGTGCCTGCTGCCGCCCCGGGCCCTGAGCCCCTGAGGTCTCCAGAGGTTCCCAGGCCGAGGAGGCCTCCACAGGCCCGGCGTGGGCCAAAGGCGTTTGTGAAGCCCTCCGCGTGGACGCCCTTCGAGGGCCGAGGGCAGAGCTCCTGGCAGTCAGAGGGCGGAGAGAGGCGACGGAGAAAAGCACCTCCGCGCCAGTTGCAGTGGCTTGCGATTATGGATGGTGTCCCCGAGTTGCGCGTGTGTGCCAACATCCCAAGCACGCCACAGATATGCGCGGACACAGTGCATCGTACTCTATCCGATGAGACAACGGTCTTGACCGTCCTGTCATGAATCCAATGAATTGTATCATGCGATTGCGCATTTCCCCCAGACATGCGGTGCTGGATTTTTTCATTGTACTGTCTCTGGAAGTCCAGGCCCCTTCTCCAGGGCCCGTTTTCCATCACGAGTCGGTTCTGGATGATCCTGGGGCCCGAGGGCCCCCCGAGGCCGAAAATGGCCAGGAACCTTCCGCTTTGTTTTTATTCACGACGCGAACTCTCGGATATCCGACGTTTCATGAACAATGTAGCATCGTGACTAACACGACTGGAGCCCCGGACCCCATCTTTCTACTCCATTTTCCGAGCCAGCACGATCTGTGAGGGTCCTGGGGGCCGAAGCCGAGCGGAAACGACCGTTGTTCAAAAAGGGCAACGCCAGGATTTCAGGGCACGTCTGGGCTCGGCTGCACGTAAGAGTGACCCTTTCGCAAGAGTGGGGCCCCTCGATATCGCCGAACGCGCCGCGGTAGTAGGACCTTGAGCGCTTGTGTTTGGTCCCCCGGCTGCGCCCAGAAAGCCGCGCACCAAAGGTCACCCTTACCCAGGGTCGCTCTTGCGTGTAGTACGTTAGCAAATGATAGGAGCCTGGTATATCCTTTCAATTCCGTCTCTAGCGTTGGCTAGCGTCGATTCGCGTCGGGGCGTCGATGAGATAGCGCCGATCTAGCGTCGGTGAGCGTCGACTCGCGTCGATGAGCGTCGATTTGGCGTCGACTAGCTTCGATTCGCGAGAGCCGACGAGATGGCATGGGAGGCTCCCACGGGGGTGCTGAAACCAGCGCCCCGCCTGAGACATCCTCACAATCTGCTCTCCAAGCAAAGGATGTTGAGCCCAGAAACAGGCGAACCGCCTGAGACATCCCCACAATATGGCCGCGAACGTGCCCGTGCAACCACCCCTGGCGGCTCCCCATAGGGGTGCTGCAACCAGCGCCCCGCTTGAGACATCGTCACAATCTGCTCTCCAAGCGAAGGATGTTGAGCCCAGAAACAAGCAAACCGCCTGAGACATCCCCACAAAATGGCCGCGAACGAGCCCGTGCAACCACCCCTGGCGGCTCCCCTTAGGGGTGCTGAAACCAGCGCCCCGCCTGAGACATCCTCACAATCTGCTCTCCAAGCGAAGGATGTTGAGCCCAGAAACAAGCAAACCGCCTGCCACCGAAGTGGAGCCGACGGGTGCGCCTCTCCGCCGCCAGCTTGTCTCGAGGCTCGGCTGGCCGGGGCCAGGTGCGGGCTCGAAGCCCGCGCCCGCAGCATGTCGTGCCTCGGGTGCCTGCCGGCGTGCCTGGCCTCGGTGCGGCTCGGGGGTCGGGCGGCGGGCGCCGACGCCGACGAGGAGTTCGCGGAGCGCGTGGCCTTCCTGAGGCCCGCGGGCCCACCTTCTCCTCGGGTTGACCCAAAAGGGGGTCCAACGACAAGGAGGTGGTGCAAAGGATTTGGTGCCATAGATTTATGGGGTTGCAATACGTTTGGGGCGTGCAATACATTCCGGGGCGCAAATGTATTGCTGGATTTTCGCGTGCAATACATTACTCGCAATCCAATGCAATACAATTCTCCTGCGCGTGCATTTGCAATACAATTGCCCCAAATCTATTGCACCACCCCCTTTCAGCTGGACCCCCTCTTGGGTCACCCAAATCTCCTCTCTGGGCCTGGACTCCAGACCTCCTGGACGGGGTTGGGGTAGATGGGGTCGGAGGATCTCGCCGCATCGCCGATGCAGTCGCGAGGCGCGGCGATGCTCCGACCCCATCTACTCGGACCCCATCTAGGAGGCCTCAATACGCTCAGGAGCGAAAGAAGTAAGTACACGTACATGAATCCACGTTGGTTTCGAGAGTGCACATTGCGCGAACGTTCGTATCGCGCGGCCGGTGTCGCAGATTGGGGGGCGCGTTCATGTACGTAGTCTGGGCGCGTGCGTTCTCTCTGGGCTCCCTATTCACGGGTTTCGAAAAGTTAGATGGGATCGGAGGATCGCGCCACATCGCCGAGGCATCGGCGATGCGGTTCGATGCTCGATGTGGAGCACGATGTTCTCCACGCCGACGTGCCGATGCATCGGCGATGGGGTGCAATCCTCCGACCCCACCTTCTCGGACCCCAACTACGAGGCCTTTAGCCTCGTCGGGCCTCATCGTCCCCTGCCCCTCTCGCCCTTCCCCCAGGCGTAATTGCGTCGTGAAGAGGTCGCGAAATCGTGAGTCTTGCTTTGTTCTCCCAGCCCTCCTACGTGTGTGGGGCCCTCGTTTTTTGAATCCGCAGCGCCGCGCGTCTCCCTCCTTCCTTGCTTCCTCATCCTCCTCCTCCTTCCTCCTCTCCTCCTCCTCATTTCCTCCTCTCCTCCTCCCCCTTCTCCTCCTCCTCCTCCCTTCTCCTCCTGCTCCTCCTGCTCCTCCTCCTCATGCTCGCTTCTCCTCCTCCTCCTGCTCCTCCTCCTCCTGTTCCTCCTCCTCCTCCTCTTTCTCCTCCTCTTGCCGCCCTGGCCAGTTTCAATTTCGGCACACCTCTCACGCGTTGCGTTTCTGCACGCCCCTCACTCGTTTCTTTCCCGCAGGGAGCTTCACCGAGTGCTTCAGTTGGTGCGTCCGCACGGCGCCGCCGCGCCCTCTTCGTGGCACCCTTCACGCGTTTCATGCCCACAAGGAGCTCCACCGAGGGCCCGTACGTTTCCGTTCTCATGGCGTCGCCCCGCCCACGCCGATGCACCTCTCATAGCTTTCCTGCCCCCCAGGAAGCTCCACCGAGGGCCCCAGTGGGCGCGTTTGCATGGCGTCGCCGCGCCCATTGCGGTACACCCCTCGCCTTTCCTGCCCCCCCTCAGCGGGTGCGTTGGCACGGATTCTCCCCGCCAGTTCCAGCACACCCTTCACGCCTTTCCTGCCCTCCAGGGAGCTCTCCCCAGCAGGTGCGTTCGCACGGCGTCGCTCCGCCCATTTTGGCACACTCCCCGCGCGTTTCGTGGCCCTCACGCACGCCGGTCGTCCTTTGCCGCATGTTGTTCTTGAGTTTCTGCCCATGCTTTGAAGGGCGTCACCATCGTGCCGTCCTGCGGAGCGTCGCGTTCATCTTCGTTCTCCCCATTGCGAGTCGACCTGTGAGAGTGCATGCGTGAATGGCGAACTTTGTTCGCGGTCTGACCTTCTTTGGCGAGGTTGTCAGGGACACTGTGGATCCTTCAGAGTGTTTTGTGTACCGAGCCGTCCTGCTTATAGTTGCCCGTTGCAGGGTCGGGTTCTTCGCCAGGCCAGTTTCTTGTGTGTGTGTACCACTAGCTCAGACGACCCCTGCTTTCGCCGCCGACGCAAAAAGTGTGTGTGTGTGAGCGAGTGAGTGAGTGAATAGGTGAGTGAGTGAGTGAGTGTATGTATGTGTGTGTGTGTGTTTCGGCCTCAGGGGGGACCGTTAAGCCACGACTCGTGATGAAGAGCCAGTCCCAGGGAAGGTCGGGTGCTCCTAGAAGTGCCCCTGGCACAGTGTGCCCCCCAGGAGTCCCCAGGAGGCCCCCACGGCCTCCAGATCACCCCATCGCGTGGCCCAGGGGTCCCCAGGGGGGCCTCCCAAGCTGAGCAACAAAAAGCTTGGGGGCACCCTGGGGGGGCCAGGGGCCCTTCTCTTGGCAGCCCCCGCGCAGGGGCCGAGACCGCGAAGGGGCCGAGGCCGTGCAGACATCATGACGTCGGGGGCCTGGGTCTCTCAGCCTCCAGGCCTGCACAGGAGGAACATCCAAGACTGGTGCAGACATCCTCTGGGGCCGGCGGCTCGACCATTCTTGCTCCTGTTTTGACCATCTGTCGGGTTTCCTCCCAAATCCGCCTCTAGGAGGGCATATGCCCAGCCTAACTCCGGGGTCCACTGGGCCGGCCGATGCGATCCGACACCGATCTGGGCCAGCCCGCTCCCAGTCGACGTCGATCCTTCGACGGCGCCGGTGTGGCCCGAGGCCTGCAGGATCGGGAGCTTTTGGACGGGGGCGAGTCAGAGCGCCAGATCTTGCAGGATCCTGCAGAGCCAGGGGTGCCCTGACCCAGGCCAGCGTGCAGGACCTCGCAGGGTCTTGCAGGACCCTGCAGGGCCCGACTGGCCCGGGTCATTGCAGTGACCCGGGCCGGCACCTCCCCGACATGCATGGGCGCCGGTGCGCATTCTGGCGCAGCCGATCCGGTTCGGCTCTGGCCCCGTGCCGACGCAGCCCGATCCAGCCCACGTCCCGATTCGACCCGCGCTGCGGATGCGATGCGGACCAGTCCTGCCCTCTCTCGGCCCGGCGGGCGCTTGTGCCGTCGGGCCGCTGAGAGAGGGACCACTCCGGGTTCAGGACGCCTCTGCTCCGGTTCTCGGGCCGTTTCGTCAGGCCCAGGTCGGAGAGCATACAGTGGAGGCCAGTCCACAAGAAACCTGCCACAAGAAGCCTAACCCCGAGACCTCAGGGCGTCCGTGGATTCTTCGGCGTGGGGACGTCACGCTCTCTGCAGCAAAGGCATCGAAACCCAAGACACCTGGCGCACCCTGGAGGCAAGCAGGGTGCTTCTTGGCACGGGACTCCACTGCACCCGCGGCCCCGGCTCGGCGTGGCCGGAAACAACCAAAGCCCTCTTCGCTCCCTCCTCGGCGCGCTCCTCCCGGTGGCACGAGAGATGGCCGCGGGCGTGCAATGCTCGAGGCCTCGCTCGGGCAGGCCGACCCAGCTCGCGGCGCCGCCCCGCGGGGGGGGGGGGGGGGGGGGGGGGAAGGGGGCCCTCCCGGGAGAGCACGGCCCGCGCCGGGGGTGCCCGCGGCGCCTCCGCCGCCTCCCCCCCCCCCTTCCTCCCCTCCTCCTCCTCCTCCTCCCTCCTCCCTCCTCCCTCCTCCCTCCTCCCTCCTCCTCCTCTCCTCCTCCTCCTCCTCCTCCTCCTCCTCCTCCTCCTCCTCCTCCTCCTCCTCCTCCTCCTCTCCCCCTCCCTCCTCCCTCCTCCCTCCCTCCTCCCTCCTCCCTCCTCCCTCCTCCTCCCTCCTCCTCCCTCTCCTCCTCCCTCCCCTCCTCCCTCCTCCTCCTCCTCCTCCTCCTCCTCTCCTCCTCCTCCTCCTCCTCCTCCTCCTCCTCCTCCTCCCTCCTCCTCCTCCTCCTCCTCCTCCCTCGGGAGCGAAGGAGGGGAAGCGAGGAGGAGAAGGCCTGCTCAGAGGGTGCTGCTCTGCTTTCTCTGGTGCATTGTTTGCCGATCCGCCCCCCCCCCCCCCCCCCCCTCCGGGAGTCGATCTCGGCTGTTGTTGGGCCCCTGTTTCGAGCAGGCGGGCCTCCCTCCGTGGGACGCTCTGCTGCAACCAGTCGCACGAAGCAGAGGTCCAGAGCCAGACCCCCCTCCCTCCCCCCCCTTTCCGCCCAGTGTCGAAACGCCGAATATAAAAAACGCTCACAAGGAGTCGGGACTGAGAAGTTTCTGTTGTGTCTTCGGGGCAGGCTCAGGAGACGTCTCAGGAGGCCCGGGAACCTCCGAGCCTTCTGAGAAGGCCCGCCCCTTCTCACTTCCCCCCTTCGCTCGCCGCCTGTACTCCTTCCGGCTGCATGTGAGGGTGACCCTTCGCCGGAGTGACCACCTCTGGTGTGGGCCAACAGAGTCAGCGGCACCGTAACCGGTCCTCACGGACGGGTACTTCTTGGAGATTTGCCGAATGTTACCCTGTTCTAGGGCCTCTTTTTGGCATTGCAGCGCTTGCCCACATCGGGGAGGGCTGAGTTCGTCGGGTCGCTGGCCAAAGTGCCCGTTCGTGGAGTCCCCGTTGTAGATGGCCGCTGGAAGGGGTTCCCCGTAGGCAAGGGCCTGCGCGCGCTTGGAGTTGGTCTGCCCGCGGCTTCTGGAGGCAGCGCTTCCCTCTTGTCAGAGTTGGAGAAGGTACCCATACCTCTACCCTTTCCTCGTTGTCCCATTTTTAGCCTCGAAATTCTGGTCAGAAGGCACCCCGGGAGAGGTCCGCGGGGTGTAGCGGTCTCTGTACCTTTTGGTTTCCCCATCTTGCTCCGTCCCGGGGCCTCCCGGGGCCTCTCTGGGGTCGGAGTTGGCGGGGGCGCTTCGCGCGACTGCGCGCTCGCAACACAGCTTCTGAGCAGCTCTCCGGGCCGTCCGCGGGGCTCGGCGGGGGCCTCTGCTGCCGCCGGTGGGCGGCGAGCCGTGGAGCGCGACGCGCGGCGGGCCTCCTCCTCCTCCTCCTCCTCCTCCTCCTCCTCCTCCGCCGCCCCTGCTTCGTTGGCCTGGCACCGCGGACAGTCTTGATTTGAAGCGGAGGCCAGCGATGGCGGCGTTGGCCTCAGACCCGGGCTGGCCTGATGGACCCCTGGCAGACCACCCCCCTCCGTGGGGTCCCCTCGCCTCGCCCCAGGACGTCTGCATGGGGCCGGAGGAGAGCTTGCAGGGCGAGGGTGACGTCACGGAAGGGGATGCTTTGCCAGGGGTCGGTTGGGCCGCGCCCGATGAGACCATCGCCGCGGATGCTGCCCTCTCTCTCTCTGTGCCACCTGGATGGCCAATCTTAGAGTCATTCATGCGAGTCCCCTCTCCTTCGTCCCCCCCTCTCCCTCCCTTGGGGTCCTCCTGCAGAGCAGGTCCCCAGAGAGCCCGGCAGGCTCCCAGAGCTTTCTGGGGATTACGGGAGGCGTCTGAAGGCTCCGGAGGCCTACCGCCCAAGGCAAGGAAGTCGAGCAGCTTCGATTCCCGGCATGCGGCTCAAGATTGGTGGCGTTGCTGTTCGGTGACGAGCGCTGCCATCCCTCGAGCTTCTTCTTTCTTCCTCTTTCTCCTCTTCGATCTCCTCCTCCTCCTCCTCCTCCTCCTGGCCCCTCTTCTTCTTCCTCCTCCTCCTGGCTCCTCTTCTTCTTCTTCTTCTTCTTCTTCTTCTTCTTCTTCCTCCTCCTCCTCCTCCTCCTCCTCCTCCTCCTCCTCCTCCTCCTCCTCCTGCTCTCTCCTCCTCCTCCTTCTGCTCTCTCCTCCTCCTGATCTCTCCTCCTCCTCCTCCTCCTCCTCCTCCTCCTGCTCCTCCTCCCTCCTCCTTCCTCCCTCCTCTTCCCTCCTCCCTCCTCCCTCCTCCTCCTCCTCCTCCTCCTCCTCCTCCTCATCCTCCTCGTGCCGAGGTCGGTGCCTATCTTCAAGAAACAGCTCCCGACGGCCGACATCCCGCGGGTCGCGGAGGCTTTGAGGAAGAAGCGGCACAGGGAAGGCGAGTACATCGCCGGGCAGGACGGGGCTCGGTGGAGGTGGAGACGGAGGCGGAGGAGGATGATGAGGAGGAGGAGGAGGCGGAGGCAGAGTAGGAGGAGCAGGATAAGTAGGAGCAGGAGGAGGAGGAGGCTGACGAGGAGAGAGCAGGAGGAAGAGGACGGGAGGAGAGAGCAGCATAACCAGGAAGACCAGGAGGAGCGTTAGGAGCATGACCATGATGAGGAGGAGCAGGAGCAGGAGAAGGTGAGAGCAGGAGCAAGAGCTGGAGGGCCAGGAGGACCAGGATTAGGATGAGGTGGATGATGATGATGAGGATCCTGATGATGCTGCTGATGATGATAAGGATGATGATTAGACTGATGACGATACTGCTGATGGGGATGATGGTGATGCTGCTGATGATGATGATCATGATGATGGCGATGATGATGACGGCGGATGATGATGATGCTGGTGACGATGATGATGATGATGATGATGATGATGATGATGATGATGATGATGATGCTAATGATGGTGATGGTGATGATGATGCTGATGACGATGGTGACGACGATGATGATGGTAATGACGATGACAATGCTGATGGTGATGAGCATGGTGATGATGCCGATGATGCTGATGATGCTGATACTGGTGATGCTGCTGATGCTGATGCTGGTGCTGATGATGCTGCTGCTGGTGATGCTGCTGCTGATGATGCTGATGCTGCTGATGATGCTGTTGATGATGTGGATGCTGATGATGATGATGCTGATGCTGAAGCTGATGACGCTGCTGATGACGATGATGCTGATGATGCTGGTGCTTCTGATAACGATGATGCTGCTGATGCCGATGATGCTGATGCGGCTGATGATAATGCTGATGCTGATGCTGATGCTGATGCCGATGCCGATGATGATGATGATGATGATGATGATGATGATGATGATGATGATGATGATGCTGGTGCTGCTGCTGATGTTGCTGCAACTGATGATGATGATGATGCTTATGCTGTTGCTGATGACGACGACGATAATGTTGCTGCTGATGATGATGATGCTGCTGATGCTGCTGCTGATGATGCTGCTGTTTCTAATGATGGCGATGCTGCTGCTGTTGATGATGCTGATGCTGATGCTGATGCTGATGCTGCTCATGATAATGATGATGATGATGATGATGATGATGATGATGATGATGATGATGATGATGATGATGATGCTGATGATGATGATGATGATGATGATGATGATGATGATGCTGCTGATGATGATGATGATGATGCTGGTGATGCTGCTGGTGGTGATGCTGATGCTGATGCTGATGCTGGTGATGGTGATGATGCCGATGCTGCTGCGGCTGATGCTGGTGATGCTGCTGATGATGCTGATGCTGCTGGTGATGCTGATGATGCTGATGCTGATGATGATGATGCTGTTGATGATGATGATGATGATGATGATGATGATGATGATGATGATGATGATGATGATGATGATGATGATGATGTTGCTGATGATGATGATGATAATGCTGATGCTGATGATGATGCTGACGCTGAAGCTGGTGATGCTGCTGATCACGACGATGCTGATGCTGATGCTGATGCTGATGATGCTGATGCTGCTGCTGCTGGTTATGATGCCGCTAATGAGGTTGATGCTGATGATGCGGCTGTTGATGCAACTGATGATGATGCTGCTGCTGCTGATGACGATGCTGATGCTGATGCGGCTGCTGTCGAGGATTTTAACGATGATGCGGCTGCTGATGCTGATGCTGATGATGATGGTGCTTATACCGATGATTATGATGATGATGCTGATGATGCTGCTGATTCAGATGATGATTCAGGTGATGATTCAGATGATGATGAGGAGGAGGAGGAAGAGGAGGAGGAAGAGGAGGATGAGGAGGAGGAGGAGGAGGAGGAAGAGAGAGGGCGAACGGGATGAGGTGGCCGCGGAGGAGGCCGCGGTGGCGGATGTGGATGATGTTGATGGTGGTGATGATGATTAGTATGATGCTGCTGCTGATGAAGACGATGCTGATGATGATGACGATGATGACGATGACGCTGCTGATGATGCTGATGATGATGATGATGAGGATGAGGATGAGGATGAGGATGAGGATGAGGATGATGATGATGATGATGATGGTGATGATGATGATAATGATGATGATGATGATGATGATGATGATGATGATGATGATGATGATGATGATGATGATGATGATGATGATGATGATGATGATGATGATGATGATCAGGAGGAGGAGGAGGAGGAGGAGGAGGAGGAGGAGGAGGAGGAGTTGGCGGAGGAGGAGGAGGAAGAGGAGGAGGAGGAGGAAGAGGAGGAGGAGGAGAGCAGGATATGGATGAGGATGAGGATGAGGATGAGGAGGAGGAGGACGAGCAGGAGGAGGAGGAAGAGGAGGAGGAAGAGGTGGCCGCGGAGGAGGCCGCGGTGGCGGATGTGGATGATTATTATGATGCTGCTGCTGATGAAGACGATGATGATGATGATAATCATGATGATGATGATGATGATGATGATGATGATGATGATGATGATGATGATGATGATGATGATGATGATGATGATGATGATGATACTGACGATGATGCTGCTGATGATGCTGATGATGATGAGGATGATGATGCTGATGATGATGATGGTGATGATGATGATGATGATGATGATGATGATGATGATGATGATGATGATGAGGAGTTGATGAGGATGAGGATGAGAAGGAGGAGGAAGAGGAGGAAGACGAGGAGGAGGAGGAGGAGAAGGAGGAGGCGGAGTAGGTGGAGGAGGAGGAGAAGAAGGAGGAGGAGGAGTAGGAGGAGGAGGAGGAGGACGCGGCGGAGGAGGAAGAGAAGGATGAGGAGGATGGGGAGGATTAGTAAGAAGGAGACTAACAATACTAAGCATAAGCATTATAATCATACTAATGCTAAGAAGACGGCGAATCATAATAATAACACGACGACGAGTAGTAATACGAATCGGAGCAGATGACTACTATTATTACAAGTACGACGAGCAATACCATTACTACAACGACGAATCATAGTGTTTACAATGCCAATACCAACTTACATACTTTTAATGCCAGTGCTAATTCAAGTAATATTAATACGAGAATTACTACCACTAGGAATACTACGAGTATTACGACTACGAAGAAGAGTACGGATACTGAGAATACGAATGCTAGTTATCGTGCTAATACTGTTAATAAGACGAAGTGGCCTACTATTCAGAAGAAGAAGAAGAATATTACGAGTACTTTCCATCATTTTTTAATAATAATAATAACAATACGAATAATACAAATAATAATCATAGGAGGAGGAGGAGGAGGAAGAGGAGGATGAGAGAGCAGGAGGAGGAGGAGGAGAAACAGGAGGAGCAGGAGGAGGAGGAGGAGGAGGAGGGGGAGGAGGAGGAGGAGGGGGAGGAGAAGGTGGAGGATGAGAGATTGGCAGGACCAGGAGAAGCAGGAGGGGAGGAGGGAGGGATGGTGATGGGCCAGGGTCACCGGCCCAGCAGCTCGGAGCCCGCGTTCTTCCTGATAGACAGCGGCGAGGCCTCGGGGAACCCCGCCGTGCCGCGCCGGGTCCGGCTTCCTCCTCTCCTCAGTGGTCGCTCTGATCCTGGTCCTGCTCCTCTATTCTTCCTCTTCTTCTTCTTCTGATTCTGCTCTGGTCATTCCTCCTCCTCCTCCCTCCTCCCCCCCTGACCCTCCAACCTTCTCCCTCCTTCTCGTCCGTCTGACTGCCGTCTGAGCTCAAGCGCCAGCGCTTCAGCTCTTTTTCCTGAGTGAAGTGACCGTTATGCACCAGTATTGCCGCCATGCTCTCTCTCGCAATGCCACCAACCCGCGTAATTCTAGCTGGTAGCGGAGCTGGGAGCGATCCCAGTTTGCGATCTACGGAAGACGCGCAGAGTGCGATGTGGACGCGTATCAGCCTTTCCTTCACTCTCCGCATTGGTGCCACCTCCATTTCCTAAACAGCTTGTGCTTACGGCTGTTCTGCAACCCTCACTGGAATTCGCCCAACGCGCCCACGGCGCGACGAGGCCAACGCTTAGGACCGAAAGTAGCCCTGTGAGTGCAATGTTTCTCGGGGGGCGAATGGCTTAGAACAGGGGGGGGCAGCGATGCCCTGGCCCCCTCACCACAACAACTTCCCGGCATTGGCAGTGTGGCCCAGACTCCTGTGTTATACCGCGCTATTTGGCCAGCGCTTAGGTTCGGAAGATCGCGGTGAGGCTGGCTTTCCATTCGTGTCCACGCTGCACACCCCGAGTGGTTTCAGCCCGTTTAACGTACCTGTTTCAACACCCTTCGGCATTATCAAGGGTTCCAATTATACTACGACTGCTCCAAGTGTCGAGATGGCTTTTGTCCCCGTGCAGGTCCGAGCCCCAAGGAGCCAGTTCGGGAACAGCGACGGCTTTGTTCACATGAGGATCTCCAACTTGGTACTACTGGGCAGTATTCCCATCCCCTCCGTGATCGCCTTGCCCTGGCTTGTTCGCATGATGCCTGGAGGAGCTGGACAGCAAGGTGGGGGCGGCGGCAGAGGAAACAGCATGTGTCAGCAATCTGCCTGGACGCCTGAACGCGAGTCTGTGTACCCATTTCGCCACTGGGTGCAGGACTTGCCCGCGTGGAACGTACTCGCCACGGACATGGACAGCGCTCAGCAGTGTGCAGCCATCATCCTGAACCAGGGTAGTGCTGCACGTGGCCTCGCGCGTTCCCTGAACGGAAGTTCGCGGAGGTGACCGAAGGAGGCTCGTTTAACGGCCGACCCGAAGATTCCGTCACTGGCCTCATCGCGAACCTCGCGAATCAGTTCGGAGTTTTTGGCGAAGAGTTATGCCTGCAGGCTACACGGGAGCGCTTCGTGTTCTCGACGAAAGTCAAGAAGACCTGGCGCCGCGGCGGCCTCAAATCCAAACGGGCCCGCGACTCGACCCGCACAGCCGCCCGCCCCGCTGCGAGAAAGACGGTGGCCGCGCAGGAGGCAGGCGAGGAAGAAACAGCCTCTGCGGAAGCTCTGGAATGCGGCGAGGAGCATGACCCGCATGACAGGGTCTGAGCTCTGCAGGGTGAGGCTCAGTGCGGACCACCCACCGGTCCAACGCAGCTCCCTCCGCATCCCCGCCTCCGCCGACTTCGGTGCCACCCCATCGCCGAGCCTGGCTTCCAGGCTACAAGCTTTCGGACACGTTCTCCGCGGCACGAGGTGAGGCTTGCGGCGCCAGTGAAAACAGCAGCCGGTTTGTCGCGTTTCCGATCAGGCAGCATCAGTGCGGCAGCTGTGTGCGTAGCTAGTTCGTGCGTCGGCTGTTTCGGATCGGTCCTTTAGATACACCCCATCTCCTCATTTTCTTCTGCTGCTGTTCCCCCCTTTTGATGCCCCCTCCTTCCTGGGGGGGAGGAGGAAGGAGCCGGATCGGACGAGGGTGTCTGCCCTGAGGATGAACCCGCCCGCAGCTCGAGCAGCCCCAGCGGGAGCGTGGAGGCGATGATGAGGAGGACGCGAGGCAAGCGGTGCGATGATGGTGGTGATGGCGACGGCGATGGCGATGGTGCTATTGATGTGATGACGATTGGCGATAGCAGCGATGATGATGGTGACGATGGTGACAATGATGGTTACAATGGGTATGTTGATTCGAATGATTAAGCCAACGTCTGATGAGTAGGATGCCGATATCGATGCCGATGGTCATGCTGTGGTTTGCGTTGATTCTGATGTTCTTGCGGCTGCTGCTGCCGACGATGACCACGCGATGGTGGTGATGATGGTTGTGATGATGCTGATGCTGTTGCTGATGATGATGACGATGCTGATGATGATGACGATGGTGGTTGTGGTGGTGCTGATGACGCGGTGATCGTGCTGATGATGACGATGACCAGGGTGAGGGTGAGGGTGATGATGCTGATGCTGTTGCTGCTGCTGATCATGATGACGATGATGACAATGACGATTATGGTGGTGGTGGTGGTGATGTTGATTTCGAGCGGGCCGGGAGCGAGGCGCTCTTTTGCCTGCCGCCTCCCTCTCTAGAGTTGCAGCGCTCGTGCTGTCTCGGATGGGCCACGGCTGCCGACTCGGGCGCCACTGGCCGTCTCGTCCAGACCGCTGCGCCTCGCATCGAGGCTCGGGCTCAGGCTCGCGGCGGGGCCCGGCGGCGCGGCCCAGCTGGGTCCGAGCAGGACGTGGCCAGCCCGGGAGAGAGCTGGAGGCAAATTTGGGCGACGCATGTCTTTCCAGGGTTCACCCCCCTGTGTGGCGCATGCGCATGTGTATCTTGCAACTGGTCTGCGCATGTTCCGCATGTGATTCAAGTCGCGTGCGTTTCCAGCCTGCTGGATTGCTAAAGGCATCCAGTTTGAGATGGTCAATCGTAGTGTGATCATTCATAAGAGGACTTGATGCGCTTTGGTAAGGTTGAGTTGGAAATGGCCCGCGTGTGTATCATGGGCTTACGCCACTCCGCACGCCCCCAGCGCGCCCCAGCGATGTGGTGCGCACGTTGGTGTTCAATGAAACACTATGCAAGGCGAGAAGAAGGAATAGGACGACAAGAAGAGGAGTATCATGAAGAGGCACAGGAGGAGGATGAGGAGGAGGAGGAGGAGAAGGAGGAGGAGGGTTTTGGAGGAGGAGGGGGAGAGGAGGAGGAGGGGGAGGAGGAGGATTTGGAGGCGGAGGAGGAGGAGGAGGAGCAGGAGTCCGTAGCCATTTTGGCTCAAGTCTGTAGCCGTTTCGGGCTCAGGGCTTGACCTTACTGGCGTGGGGGAGTCTGCGGCCCCCGTTTGCGACGCCTCACGACCGGGTCACGTGAGGTTTCAGTTCCGATTTTTTACCACACGCCATGTCCACGCCTTGTTGGGGCTGCGCAGTGTGCGGGTATCAGAACTACGGGTTCCACAAGCGATGCAGGCAGCCTAATTGTAATGGCCACTGCCCTTCTGGTCCTGTTCCTGGAAGCACTCCGCCGTGGATCGAGGGGCCCCGTGGGAAGTGGCTGCTGGGACCGCCTGCCGCAAGTGGAGCCTCGGGAAAGGACAAGAGTAAGGGTAAGGGTGCCGACAAAGGGGACAAGTCGAAGGGTAAGCCGCCTGCGAAACCCTCGTCTGCAGGATTTGGGCATCTCGGTGATGAACAGTTGCAAGTCTGGCTTTCGATGTCTACGGAACAGCTTGATGCAGCTGCAGCCGTTTTGTCTCAAAGTGCCCGGGACAAGCTCAAACACACGCTCTGGCGTAAGGCGAATGGGCTCCCTGGGTCGGTGCAGCTGGTTCAGGGCGCTCAGCAGCAGGTGGACAAGAAAGCTGATGAACTAATTCGTGCTGAGGGAGCCTTGCGAAAGGCTCGTGACGCCGCCGTGTCCGCTATGCTGGCCTTCGCTGAGGCCAAGGAGCGGCAGGCCACCATCGAGGCGGAACTCGCCGTGCTCAAAGCCGAGCGCGACCGCCTGGCCGTGGTGGGGGTCGACGCACCGCAGAGGCCCAAGCCGTCTGGCTTTGAGGCCGCCCGCCAGGTGGTGGCAGTGCTGCAGGGCCACCCAGGATGGGAGGCGCAGGTTGGCGCCAACATCGCCGCGCCGCTCACCGCGCTGCTCCAGGCGGTGGCCGTGCAGGCCCCAGCGCCCCCCTCGTCGGGCGACGTGGAGGGCCCCGATGGCGAGGAGCCCGCTGCGGGAGCCGTCGCAGCCATGGCACCCCAGCAGACACCAGGCGACGTCGCGATCCACGTGCCCGCTGACGACGACATCGCCTGGGACGAGTTCCTACGCGAGCAGGGCGCTCACATCGGTGGCATGCGCGCGCCCGACGCGGAGAAGCGTCGGGCCCGCGTGGCGGAGCTGCAGGCTGAGATTGCCAGCAAGCGGGCGCGTGCTGCGCATGGTGTGGGCGAGGCTACTCATGTCGTGTCTTCTTCCTAGCCCAGCTAATGGAGAGGCACGTCTTCTTCCTAGCCAAGCTAGTGGAGAGGCGCACTTAGACATCATCTGGGAATGCAGCCAGGTGGACGCCGTGTGGGCGGGGGAGTCGGGCAAGGCCGCTGACGCTATCCGCCGGGAGTGGCAGCACGGCGAGGAGCAGCACGGCGACGGCGGTCTCAGGATTGCGTGCTGCCGACCTGCGCGTGCTGGTGGTGCAGGTTGGAGAGGGACTTCAGCGCCGACTGGGTCATCGGCGCCGACTTCTCGGATCGGGTCGTCTGCAGGAGAGGCGCAACCCCTGAGCCGACAAGGCGGCGGCCCCCTGGGCAGTAACGCTGCCGAGTCAGGACAGTCGGGAGGCGCCGCCTCTCCTGCCGCTGGACCGCGTCTTTCTGGGTCAGGGCGTTGGGGGCAGCCGCCTGCTGACGTTGGCCCAGGCTCAGGAGACGGTGTACACGGATTTCCCCTTCGTGAAGGTTTCAAACCGCCAGGCTGCAGCGGCCAGGCGGGGGGGCGGGGGAGCGACGGCCAGCCCCCGCGCCTCCCAGGGGGGGTCGTCGACGGATGCTCGGCCTCCTTCGGGGGCGACAGGCCCAGCGTCGGTGGACGGCTTCC